CTCATTCGTTTTATTGAAAAGTTAATATTGACACCAAACCTATTTTATGACAGACAGGATATGACGATATAAATTAAATAGATGTTCATTTTACATTTCGATCAATTTTTCTTTATGGGAAATTCTTGGAAATTGTGTATTTTGATCATTTCGGTAATTTGTCGGCACAGAGCAATTACTTCAAATGCTACTTCAAAAAATTCTCCATTTACATTAATTCATATAGTCTAGGATATCATCCATATAATAATTTACATATATCCATCGGGCATTTTTTAGCTGCATGAGAACTATAGATATCGATAACTATAGTTTGACAGCTGGGAATGTAAAACTGTGTTCAGTAAGGTTTTGCAACTCGTTTAACGATAGAACAACGCTTTAAAACTCATCCTTCCTTATTTCAAAATGAGGAAGGATCTGCCGTTACGGTAAATGGTGACCGCTATCGAGAAATGCTGATTGAATTTTTGTTTACAAAAATTAATCAGTTACACATGGTCAAATCAGACATTTGGTTCCAATAAGACGGCGCAAATTACCATATAGCATACTCAATAATCGATTACTTTACAATCGATAACTTTATTACCATATCACGATCCTTGATCGTGCGATCTAACGCATCTCGATTACTTTTTATGGGGCTATGGTAATTCATTAGTTTATGCCGACAAAGCAGCAATTCTTGAAGCATTGGAAACCACATTTATTGCAGTTGAAATAAATAGTCGAACATTGGACTGATCAAATAGACCATGTAACTCGCGGCGGATATATGCCGGAAATCATATTTAAAAAATAAATACCATGAAATTATCTACCAATTAATAATAAAAAAATTTCATTTTAACAATATTTCTATCTTGTATTATCATTTTAAGTTCTCATGCTGCTAAAAAACACTCTATATATGAGATTAATTACGAAGCGATTAATTGAACACATTATCATTCTTCTATACCTTAAATTTCTAATGCGAACTAACAAACAATTAAAATTAAATTTTTTGAACGTTCATTCGTTTTATATTGAAATAATTAAAGAAATGCGTTCAGACTCACATTATACATGTATTCAGTCGAGTTCGATAACTCGATAAGTCGGTAAGTCGGTAAAGTGTTAACATTTTATGTGAAGTTATCGAGTTACAGCGCTTAAAACTTATTGGGTTCCGATTAATATTTTGTTAAAATCAGCTGATTTTTTATTGTGATGTGTTGAACAAAACTTAAATTTAATTTAAAATTTGAAGTTTTTGTAAAAATAACAAAAATTAAAATATGAATTAAAAAAGTTTTTTTTTGTATTACTTTTTTTTGTATTTTCTTGCTGTTGTTTTATACAAAAAAACAAACAAAAACAAAATCAGCAACTTTGGGAATTTCATTTTACAATATTATCGACGAAGGCGCAAATACAATCGTTTGTCTTTTTTTTTATCGACTTATCGAATTGTTATGATATTATGCAGATAGTCAAATGATTATAAAATGTTATTCAAAAACGTCTGGATAACCGCGTTTAGATATATTAATGAGTCGGTCTAAATATACTTTATTATTTCTTGGAACATACATATGAAGCTGTATAACAATATGTGCTTTATATAAATAAATTATAATGCAATAAACAAAAAGTACTTTATAAATTCTTTATTAATTTATTAATTAAACCTTATTTCAATATCATAAAATTGAGTTGAAAAATTTCTAATAACAGGATCGATTAAAATGTCCAATTCACATTTGTATTGCTAGAAACATTTAAGACGACAAAGGATTTTTTGCAATATTCGCCACTCTGAGCAATATTTTCCACTACGCTCTATGTTGATATAGCATAAAAATCAAATTTACACGCCATCTAGGGACGACTAGTAAATAATTTTTTACACTGATTTCACAAAAGTTCTCTAACAATAATTATATGCGCCATCTAGGACAAATGTTTTTCATGACATAATAGGTATAGTATAAGGAAAAAAGCTGCCAATAATGTTTATATATCGTCAGCATCGCAGAAGTAATACTCGAACTGCTTTATTTACTAATTTCTTAAAATTTTAAAACATTTACTTATAATACTTATAATTTATCCTAATCTGTTATATTTTCCTTAAATTTAATTCTTGCTAAAAAACAATATAATATAAAAGTATATTAAATGTACATAATCACTTTTTGCATTTATTTTCATAAATTTTTAACATTTAGTATTATATCTCATATAAAATCTATATGAAATTCATTAAAAAATATAAGAGATAAAAGCGCACTTATATTTTATTGACTTGATATTTATAACGCTGGCTGGAAGCATATCAATGTTTCAATTATGGGCTAAAGTTTTCATAAAAACAAAAAAAAAATAAAAAAATACGTGAATCAAAAAAACTTTATATGAGATTTTTTTAAATAAATTTATAACAAAAACAAAGAAATGCACAAAAATGTTATTATGCAATTTATTTGTGAAACACTTCAAGAAATTTTAATTTGAATAATTGAAAAATATGGCGGCTTATCATATTGAAAAGCAAATTTCAAATAAAAATAAAACGTGCTTAGTTTTTTCTTTTCTTTAGCGAAATTTGCTTGATAATTGTTAATACTTAAAAATATTTTTGCAAAACTCATTGATTCACGTTTTATAAATTCGAAGTTTAAGCATAATAATAATCTTATTGTTTTATTTAAAAATTATATATTTCACTGTAATGACTAAGAACTATAGTAGCTTATGGATAAATACGTTCTATATTTATACACTACTATACTTAATGCGTAATAAATTTAATAATAAGTTTTATATATTAATATAAAACTTTTTAAATTAATGCGTTTCTCGTACAAATGCCCTAAGATAACTTTTTAATGAGATTGTTTTTAATAATTTCGAGTGGTTTTTAAAAGTAATATATAATAAAAACAATTTTTGCTTTTCTTACAAAATACAACATAAACTTTAGCAGTAATAATATTTAATAGTAATGATTGTAATGTTTTCTTAGAAAATACTTTTTTAAATTTAAAAGCAGTAATATATGTATATATATATATATATAAAACAGTATAATATAATATATAATTATAAAAGATTGACACATAATCTTTAATATTTCTTACAAAACACATTATACACTTTAAAACATTTATTTATTTATTTGTTAACTAAGAATAAGGAACTGAACTGCTAGGCATTTCTCCTTGTATAGTATTATAGCTTAATATTGTTATTGAACATGGTCTACGAAGTAAACCGAAATATTTGTAATATGAATAATTTTTTATAAAAATTAAAATATAATTAAATATTCAATATAAATTTATAAGTGTAATTTTTATTTAAAAAAAAAAACATTTTTAATTTTTATGTGTTAAATTAATGAACTAAGCTCAGTAATAATTTAAAAAAAATAATAGTTTAATAATAATAGTTTCAAATGTTATTATAAATACTTATACGTCTTCTTACAAAATATATTACATACTTTAGAAATTATAATGTATAAAAATATAATAATAATGATTTAAACATCTTACATAAACTTATAAAAGTTTTCTATAAATATGTTGTGCACTCTTCCTAAAATTTTGTGTAACGTTTTCCATAAATATCTTAAATAAAATACTTGTGTATTTTTTTCCGTGGCTTTGTAAATATTAATTATTATCTTTTTTTTTAATAAAGTTAATAATTTTATTGAATTGTAATATATTGTCCACTCCCATTAACAGAATTTGACAGTTTTCATAACTTATGTACATATTTTTTAAAATTTGAGCACAGCAACCCTTTTCGCAAAAGAGAAGGTAATAGAAAAAAAAGCTAATAAATGCCAAAGCAAGAATAGTTATAAGAGGTAATACATAGGAATTAATTTTGCTCATTAGTATATACGGGTTCGCCGCGCTACTTGGCTGAATTAGTATCTCATGTTTTGCCTGCGTTTGTTAAAGATTTTGATAAAACATAAATTTCTTATGTCGGGAGCATTTGTCTATTTGAGAGCGCAAAGAATGCAGCAGTCGTTTTCATAGAAAGGTTATTATACGAAATGTGGAACCATCCATAAGAAAAGAACGCAAAATACGATGGGAAATTGCGCGCTCTCTCGAATTGGCAAAATAAAAGTAATGGGTATAAAAATGTTGTTGGAGATATTTCGCCACAAAATAATTTGCCTCCATTAGCAGAAGTGTCAAAAGTTAAAGTAATTGGAAAAAATGTAAAATAATTAATAAAATATATGTACAAAATATCAATGAGTTCAAAAATTCTTGCAGATAATAAAGATGTGCAAAAAATTTTTCCAAAAAAGTGTTTTAAATCGCAAACTGCTTATGCTAATTTTTATCAAGTACTTTAACATTGTAGAGTTTTGTGATGTTTTTTAAAGTCTAGCAAAAAAGTATTTCTTAAATTGCAGAAAGAGAACCTTTAAAATATAAATAATGTGCTATTTCCAACATAAGTGCTAAGTGCTTTTACTGCTCTGACCACTGGGGCTTCGTTTTTTGTTGATTTGTTTTGTTTAAAAATAGCTTTTATTCAATGAGCAAAATAATATCACTCAGCAAAATCCTATGAGAATGCTGAGCTACAAAAAAATAAAAAAATAGAAAAGTTTTGTGGCATAAAACTGTTATCGTGGTAGTGTCACCGCCATTATGAGTTTTGATATCATTCTAATAAATTTACCAAATACTCTAGTATTGTTGTTTTTTAAGTAAAGAACGCAATTGCTAGAAATATTTTTTATATAACGTTCCATCAATAAACAAAATATTTTCAAAAATTACAGCTGAAATTTTACAGTGGTAAAGGGAAATAAATATTACAATTAACAAAAATTATTATTACTAATAGAATCTTAAATGTATGAAACATTTAATAACAAATAAATTTACAATTTTACAAAAATCTTAAAGGAATAAACTTATCAACTATTAAAAAATTAAAAAATTAAAAAACTAAAAAACTAAAAAGCTATAAAGCTAAAAATCTAAAAATCTAAAAATCATGACGCCTATATTATTGCTGTTTAAGTTAATGCTTAAAAACAAAAAAGCTTGGTGTCCACGTGCTGCAAAAAAATCATTTAAGTTGACCTAAGCTTCAAATAGAAAAATTAAGTACAGCGTCTGTGTCATTTTTAACGAAATATGACTGAATACGTCACACCAAATATACACACAGTTTTGAAGAAATATCAAAACACTGCACCTAAAAGTCTGCAAGGTCCTGGTCATACATTGGTTGCGACAGCAGCTGATGGGCTGTGTCAAACTGGTTCAAAATGTTCCCTGGATGCGGCTATAAATCGTGGAGGAGTTAATGTAAACAGTGTTGATTTAATATCCAGCGGCAATATTTCAGTTGCGACGCGTACACTTAATTCTTGTTTAGCAGCTAGTATCAATTGTCATTCTACAAGCAGTGGTGTGGATAGCCTTTGTGATGACGTACCCAGTGGTATTGTTGATGGTAAGCTAGCAGGATCGGTAGCTGTATCGAAACCCATCGCACCAGTAATTAAGAAAGAGATTATATCTCCTGAATTATCTGAGCATGTATTATCATCACAAACATCGACAACACCAATTAAAATTGTTCCTCCCCCGCCGCCAGAACTTTCACAACCGGTACTGTCAGCAGCTGATTCAGGGTCCGTTGAACTCTATGAGACGCGATTAGAGGGCAAAACTATTGGGTGTTTTTCGTTGGGTGGAGAAATGCGTCTGTGCCTTCCACAATTTCTTAACAATGTGCTAGCCGAATTTACCCTCGATCAAATAAATCGTATATTTGATGAATTGGGCATATTTTGTTCGCAATGTACACCAGATCAATTGATCGAATTCAAAGCAGCAAAAATCTTACCATCTGATGTCAAGGCTAGCGGTTTAATAACACGCACTGATGCTGAGCGTCTATGTTCTGCATTATTGCATCGATCGGACTGTAATAGTTATATTAATGTTGACGATATACCTAAAGGATCAATTTCATTTAAAGTTTATCATCGTTGCTTCGGAAAATGTGAAGGTATTTGTACTCCGGATATGTACTCCTTCAAGCAGCAAACCTGTATTATGTGCTTAGAATGTAAAGGCTGGTTTTCTCCGCAAAAATTTGTTGGACATGTGCATCGAAAAATGGAAAATCGCACATGTCATTGGGGTTTCGATTCACGTAATTGGCATGATTATTTACACATAGCGTTCGACGTCGAAAATCGCGATAAATATAGGAAAATATTGGATGAGCTTAAAGAAATCGAAGTAAAGGAAGCATTGAACGGCCAACGTGAAATAAATTATATGAAAAGAAAGGTAAGAATAATATTGTTTATCATCATTATAATATATAATATATAATATATGTACGTAAAGAACAAAGTTTAAACGTGACAAACTTTTTTAGATAAACGAGAAATTTAATTATATCGGCACAAATTATCTATATAAAAATATTTGATAATCCAACTTTATTTATTACGTTTTAACAATTTATTTAAACTGTTTTATTTGTAAATGTTAAGAAATTATTATAGGAAATAAATAAATTAAAATAATATATACACTAATATAAGAGTCTAACGAATATATTATGAAAATTTGATAGCATAAGACGATCTATTTGTATTTGTTTATTCAATGGACTTGGCCTACCTTACGTACTTATATTAACGAATTTATAGACATAATCGTTTATAATTATGATTATAAGTTAATGATATTTAAATAATTTTTATTAATTTAACAGAGAAACAGAATGTTTTTACTCTAAACAGTACTTATTAGTTATGCACTCTAGCATAGTTGAATATGTGTCCTTCTATGTTGTTGTCGTAGCCCGTTGGGACCTGCCTATGAAGTCCCTTTGATAGGTGTCGAACGGGACTTGAACGAGCGGGTGGCTTCGGGACGTTCTTGGAATCTTTGTCCTTCTATAGTTGGTAGTGTTGTTGTTGTTGTGACCCCTATCGATCTGTAAATTAGATAAAACAAAAGGAATTACATGACGAATACATGGGTTAGGATGTGGATGGGTATTGGTTGTGTGAAAGGAGAGGGGATTATTAGGAAGTTAGAGTGACTATATTTTAAAACCCTTAATTGTGTGATATATATTTTATATAGTTGGTATTGTTGCCAGTTCTATACTTGATATTGTTGTTGTGACCCGCAGCGATCTGTAAAGCAGATAATACGAAAGGAATTACATTGCAATGCAAATACTAGCGTTAGGTTGTGGAGAGGGGAGGGGATTATTAGGAAATGAAATTAACTATAGTAACTATATTTTGTTATAAAATTATAAAACTCTTAATTGTGTGATGTATATAACATATATCTGATTCTCGATATTTTAACCCAATCTAATTACTAAGTGGTTCCATAATGTTGAAGTTCAGTGAAATAAGGTACGTCTATATACTATTTCACTTAATAATATGGTTTTATTTGATATGTAAAATCACAAGTTGAAAGTTCGAAAAGTTTTTCCTTTATCTACCAAATAGTATGTTTGTTTCGCATTCTTATTGATGGATAAGATTGATATTTATATTTTTGATATTATTTTGATATTGATATTTAAACTTCCAATAATAATAATAATTATTAATTATTATTTTGTAAAGCTATTATAATAATGTGATCAGAAATTGAGATTCAGTTGTTGGTTTAGGTCTGACCTCAATAATTTTTTCAACGAATGGAAAGCATTTTACCACACAAAAATAATTTTATTGTGTATCATCATTTTTGAAACAAAATTTACTTTTTAATATATATTAATTTTTCAAACTGAAATATTTATGTCAACTATCACTTTGTTTAATGTTATATGTAGACTTTGGAATGGTTGCTTTAAAGGTTTTCTAAAGATAGTCCATTGTATAAGTATAATTTGCTCTTTAAATACATTCCTGTTAGAGCACAACTTTGGTTTTTTTTTTTTTTGTATATTTATGTACGTAGGGACTAATATGCTTCTTTAGTAGAACTTTTCCATAATTTTGTTATTCTTTGAGGATTTATTATTATTTTTATTATATATTATAATAATTATTAATGATAATAATTATATATATTTATTTTAATATATATATATATTAATTATATATATTTATTTTAATATATATATATATATTAATTATATATATTTATTTTAATATATATATATATTAATTATATATATTTATTATATATTATAATAATTATCAATGATAATAGTTATATAACTTTATTATATATTATAAATATTAATTATAATGATTATATATATTTATTATACATTATAATAATTATTAATGATAATAATTATATATATTTATTATACACTATAATAATTATTAATGATAATAATTATATATATTTATTATATATTATAAATATTAATTATAATAATTATATATTTTTATTATACAATATAATAATTATATATATATATATTTACGTACATCAATTTTTATTAAATCGAATTGTTCAGTCATAACTTTTATCATGAATTCCTATTAAACACTGGTTCTGTTGGTAAAAATTTCGCTATAACTACTATATAAGCTGATGATTTCGATACGATAGTATATGTAGATATTATTTAAGTTCATGGAGTTTTTTTTAATTTTAAAGAATTTAAATTGGCTTAAGTGAACAAAATCTTTAAAAACAAAGCAACCTTATATATATTTATTTTTGTAAGGTATATATATTTTTTATATTTTTTTTATTTAATATCGAAGACGTTTCGAAGTTTTTTTTACCTCATCAGTAATAAATAATATTAAATTATTATTAAATAGCATAATTTTGTGTTTTAATTTGAAATATTTTATTCACTAAACTCTATTCATTAATAAAAAATTTTTAATAAAGATTTTCATAATATTTGTATATATTTTAACATAGAGATCTTTTAAGAAGGGAGGTTTATATTCTCACAACAAATTTGGTGAATCCGAAATTTGTAATATTTACGAACATATATATTCATAATACTTATTTAAATCATTGCGAAAGTAGTGGAGAAACTATATAAACTATATAAAGAAACTATATAATTAAACACTGAAAGTTGATCACATAAGAAAAGAACTACGATCTCCAGAGTCAAGAACATTAAGATTTAGTAATATTGTATATAAGATTTTTGGATAAGCTGAAGCTTACTTTCTACTGTTTTTTACTATTGTTTTAGTATATTTTTAATCAGTATAAACTTAGAATACTATCTAGATATATCGTCGATGTTGTCTCTAAAGAACTTTCTAAATACTAAATAATCATATGTAAATGATATAGCGTACAAGATTTCTGAATAAACAGGCTAAATTTTGACTTTTTTTTCCAATTCTTTTAGTATACTTTTTAATCAGTATAAACTGAAAATTCTGTTTAGATGTATTGTGGTTGTTGTCTCTTAGATTTATTAAATCTTTTTCTATTGCTAAACGAAAGGTATTTCAATATACTATGTAGGTATTGTTTTGGCTAGATACCTTTATGTAAAATAATCTAAAATGTCAAGTAAAAAATATATTATGAGGTTTTTTTCTGTCGTATTAAGATTATTATCAGACTATTGGATTTTACAAGCTGATTTGTATTGAAATGTCTAATAATAAATGATTTTATAATATACATCTGTGGTGCAATATTTACTCCCAATCCATATCCAGAGTTTGATAGGAGATGTTAGTAAAGTTGCAAGGACCTGAGAAGTTATGTGTCACGGTTTTGTTTGCGTACCCAAATTATATATAATATGGTATTTTTTTCTTTTTTTTACTGGATTAGTTTATTATTAATAAAATAAACATTCTGATAGTTTCGTTTTCGGTGTTAAAAGTTTTGCGGATGTTTTTGTTTTTACACTAATATAATTTCGAAACTGCACACCATTCAAGTTTGTTTATTAAAATAAGAGGTATTAAGAGAATATTTCGAATTTTGACATTTATTTACAATATCAAATGCATAGCGTAAATCACTGTCAATTTACTGTTTATATCCATAAACAAACAAAATATCTATTCACATATATAATACGTATCTTTCCATCTTTCGTTTAAAAGCTGTTCTTTAATTCGTTAAAATATTTTGCAACTATGCAATAGTCTGAAATTGGGTAATTTTCCTTAAAACGTAGTGAATTTTTGTTTATATTGCCATAAAAGCTTATAAACAAAATTGAAAAATAATATTTAAAGTAAAAAATAAAGTATAGAACGTTACACACACTGCGGCTACCTACCCTTAACAAAAACGCAAGGGCATGGTTAGGAGTATCTTCGCAGTTCGACATTCTGCAGGCGACACTGATCACAAGATCACACAGAGTGGATTTTTTGTTTTGGTAAACAAATTATGTTATTATGATTTTATTTTTTGAGAATATTTTCCACTAAATTCCTAAATTTTGATGCGATCTCCTCAATCACATACTTTGTCTTTGCTCTATTATAAATCTAAATTTCTGTAGCTAGAAATTCTCGTAAATTCGTAAATGCATTCTAATCAAATAATGTCAGTTGCAGTACTAATGATCTAATAAGATCACAATACACTGCTCTAAACCCAAATACCTTTTGAATATATACTTCTCTATCTACCTTTTTACACTTCCATAGTTAGTTTGCATTTTGTGACTATTTTTATTATATAATTTTTCCTTGTAGCTTAATCCGAAATATTATCTTTTTAAAGCTGTTTCTATTTCTAAAGCTAAACAACAATATCAGTGCAATATATATTGACGTATCTCGATTAGACTTAATTCTTGCATATGTTATACAATTTTTTTTATTAGTTACTAATTTAATTATTAGTTATTATTTTATTTATTTTGTTATTAGATATCTTCATGTATCTTAAAACCTACAAAAATGTGGTTGTCTTGATTTAAGTTCATTCTCGCTTATCGTGTTCCAATTAGTCTGGATTATTATATCTAAGCTTACTGTTTCGGGAGTAGCTTGAATATCTGATAACATTATCATATTGCATTTCTGATATGAGCAAAATTTGAAAATCGGTCTCCTGATGTTTTTTTTTCAACCACTTGACCGAACATCATCTATGACAGAATACAAGATCACAAATGTATAATCATCAAAATACTATAAGTTCTTTTTACAAAACATGTGTTGTTGTAGTTCACTACTTTTCAAAACCTCTCCACCAAAACATACGTGTAAAATTAGAATATTTAATTTATTTGTCCTTTAAACTGTATATTTACACATAAGTTTGTTCGAAATTTTTAATCTTTAAATTCCAAGCACTTCTAAAAATAAATCTGATATAGAATAGTCAAAATTATTCGA